GTTCACAATAACAACACGGAGCCAAATGATAACTTTGTGTAAGGAAAAAAAGTGGTTGTTGACTAAAATTTGCTAGTAAGTTGTTTCTCGGTGCAACTAGCGGAATTATTTTATTTAGTAAATGTTTATTTTTATTTAATTAACAAATTGTGAACTGGATCATTCTGAACTGTCAACAAATAATTCAGACCAGTTTTATGAACTGGATCAACTGATTACTTGAAAATATCTCGATAATCAGGCATTACTTTACTCGTGTGCCAAGGACAGCTATGTCAAGATGTTTAGCAAATATAAACTTTAAGCTTAGCACTGTTTCTCACACAAAACATATGACTTGATTGTCAAGCAAACCACATTTTTGTAAAAAAAAAAAAGTGTCACGTCCCTCAAATGAGTAGAAAGCCTCTTCTCATAAAGTCTCTGTGCATTTTTCACTAATGAATCATTTCCATGAACTTTTACAGCATATCTGAAATTATCCAATAAATAAATCAGCCTGTCCTCTTTCAACCAAGATTCCCCTCTCCCTGTTCCCACAGGACTGAAAATAAATAGGACTCTCATGAAGTAAGCAGTAGCAGTGTTGGGAATATTATTCTGGATGCAGTCGGATTAAGAGGCTAAAATGGAGGAGAAGACCAGAAGGATACATGGAGATAAAGACCACTTTATACCATATTATCTCAGTAAGCACAAAAACACATATGAAGTCATTATAGATTACTTAAAATACACAAACAAACATGCAGTCATAAGCACTAGAATGAGCATGTTTTATGCTTATCAACCCTTGTGTCAGACCGGACAATCCTTTAACACGACATATCCGTGGATGTTACACTTTAAGCATACTGTCACAGCTGTATGCTCAGAAGCAACACAACAGATTCCATCTGTTCTGCAAACAGCACTATAGGTTAATCTGCACTTTAAAATAGCTTATATGCAATATGTTACTATTCCCTTCTAGTTTTTACAAATCCCTAAGAACTAATTACTATACAAAGTACATCATCGTCCTTATTTCTGTTTATGTACCTCTCAGGTACATAACAGTCAGGTTTATCACTGACCAGAAGCGTTCATGTGTATATGTGGGTGTGTGTGTGACTTTGTACGGTTATAAAAAGCGCTTAGACCCCTAAGAAACACATTACACAACATTAAGAGAGATTAAGACCCAAATCAGCCAAGGGTTGCCATGGAGACCTGGATCAAAGTTATTAATTTCAGATGAGCGATCTAGTCAGAGATTTGGTAACACGGATTAGCAGAATCTTCTCTCATTTTCCCCTCCTTTTAAACAGGACAGACACAGAAACAGATGTCAGTGTTTTTTTGGAGTCCTTTTTCTTCCTTACTTGACTCAAATTTGTAAAAGACTGTACAACTTTATATAATGGTCAGTCCAACCCTATCATCATTATGATCTATGCGCCCTCATTAATGTGGAACATGTTGTATTACATTTCTGAATTATTATTTTAAACTACTAATTTTTTATTTTTATAACTTTTTTAATGCTTGGCAAATCAGTCTATAGTCTACAAATAGTGTACTTACATAGCTGTATATATGTATAATGTTTTTTTAATGAAGTCTCTTATGCTCATCAAGGCTGCATTTATTTGATCAAATTTACAGAAAAAAACAGTAATATTGTGAAATATTATTGCAGTTTCTAATATTGGTTTCCTATTTTAATATACTATAAAAAATTAAATGTATTTTTGTGACGCAGCAATGAATTTTCATTAGTCATTACTCCATTACTCCAGTCTTCAGTGTCAAAAATTAAGCAGGACAACTGTTTCCAACATTAATTATAAATCAGCATATTAGAATTATTTCTGAAAGATCATGTAGCACTGAAGACTGGAGTAATAACACTGAAAATTAAGCTTTGCTTCACAGGAATAAATTATATTTTAAAGTTGTTTACCTCATGAGAGAGCTGGGAGTGTCTGGAGCACGCTTTAGGAAGGCCCTCAAAGATCTGGCTGAAGAAGCCGAGAAGAGTAGCTTTTGGCTCTGGATAAAGAGGAAGGATGCGTGTTGGGGCACCACCTAGCACAGACGCAGGCTGCAGGGGGTGACAGGGAGATGTCCCTGACACTGCCCCGCCACCAGGTGGCATTCCGGGATTAAAGGGGCGAAACGTCAATGAGCGGTGGTACACGGCTGATAATCCCTGCAGCCTGCCAGTTCGTAGGCACCGGAGGAGGTGCGTAAGGCAGCAATGCCCTAGCAGGTAAAGACCTACCTGTGTAACATTTGATTTTAAATTGCAATAACATTTCACAAAATTACAGTTTTTCTGTATTTTTTATCAAATAAATGCATGTCTTATTGAGCATAAGAAACTTCTTTAAAAACCATTAAAAATCTCACTGATCTCCACTAGACAGACAGACAGACCGACAGACAGACAGACAGACCGACAGACCAACAGACAGATAGATAGATACTCTTTACTAAGGTACAAAGTTATTTATTTACAACAAAATTTTGGAATAAGTGTCATAAAATTTTGTGGCCACTGTATGTATCTGTAATGGAATTCAGAAATATTTATCATGCAGTAGCTTCTCTGATGACCAAAGAGATGAATTGATGTGTTTTCAGTCTGATGTTCTCACGGTGTCTCTCTGGGAGTCAATGTTAAGGCGCTGCTTTGAAGATGAGGGCTCTAAATCAGTGTGGGAATGAGAGGGATGCTTTCTGTGGTCCACAGTGTCTCTACTTCTGATCTGTGTGTGTGTGTGTGTGTTTAAGTGGTAAGTGGCTAGTGTTGATTTTTAATAATGTAGGGAATATGTAATATGTATTGCAGTAAAACGTGAACTTGCGATGCCTTGAAAGTGGACAAAACCAGCTTTTTTGACAAAATGTGTTTAGGGTTCAATTTGCGCTATATGTGAAGAATAATGCACGGCAATCAGCAAATTTTTTTTAAAGTGGCATTTATCGGTTTTTGCAAATTAACTCTTCATATATAGTTACAGCACCCTGATTAATTTAAGAAGCAACCTCAGTGATTTGATTCTGGAGCCAGGCCTGCACCAAGTAACTAACAACCTAACTTACTAACCACAATTTTGGTGTCAATTTTTTGGTGTCAAAGACAACTCTGAAACTTCCACTAACTAACCAACTAAATAACTAACCAACCCATTACAATTCTTGGTGTCCTTTTAAAGGTAATTAAAACTTTGAAAGCCACTACTACTAAAATATGCTATACTAAAATACATTTCACAACAATACTCTCAAACTAAACTGTCAGAAATAACTAGCTGATTCAGAAGTTACACTGAAGAAACACATTTTAGAGATGACAAAATGCACTAGTCATCAGAGCTAATGTATGTTCTGCTGAGCAAACTCTGTTAGAGGACTGAACTGGAAATGGACAAGAAGAAAATACAGTGATTTAGAGGTGAAAATGGAACAAATAACAACCTAAAAATGCGAAAACTGGATATAATTTGTCCCGTTGGCCATTTTGAAGGCTACACACACAAAACAGTATACAATTCAAAAGACAATATACAAGAACAGTAATGGTATACACAATGTCCTGAGGAGATGTATTCATTCACAGAAAGGTTTTCCTATGAATTCATTAGAGAAGAGTCCATTTTTATGGGCATTGTGTGTCTTTCCTAAGGGTAGATGAATTGTGAGTTGTGCTCTGCCCGCATTCCTTTGAGCAATAAAACTAGTGTTATCAGATAGCTATTATTATTATTATTATTATTATTATTATTATTATTAGATGTTAACTTGATTTCAATTCATTTTGATTGGCTAAAGTACATGAAATATGTGTTTACATTTTTCCTCCCAGTGGTTGACATGAAAAAAAAAAAGTTAAATGACGAATAAATAAATAAATAAATACTACTACTACTACTACTACTGGTAATAATAATGGTAATTAATAGTTAAAATAATAATAAATAGTTGGATTATTATTATTATTATTATTATATTTTAAGTATTTTGATTGGCTAAAGTACAAAACATGGATTGAATGGGTTAAACTTTGTTTGTTTGTTTGTTTGTTTTTCTTTCCAGTATAGATTACATGAAAAGAAAGAAAGACCAATACTTATACTGTATAACATCAATATATTTTTAAAATATCACATTACATTTTACCCTACTACCTGTCAGATATAACTGTAAGTGGTGTTTTGCGAAATGACCTATCGCACCTATTATGAGGCTATTTAAAAAGATTTGGGGGTGTGGTCAGTAATTTTGCACGTTTGTGTCCAATCACGTCTTTGGAGGGCAGACTAATTCAGTGGCTAAGTCTGGCTTAAGTTAGCAAACGGGTGAATTATCATTCACTTAATTATATTAATACTTAATTATACTCCATTCTAGACTGATTTCCAGTCCTAAACTTCCCAATACATATGGGCAAACAATGAGAACTCTGAGAACCTGCTTGAGTAGTGTGTGTGTGTGTGTGTGTGTGTGTGTGTGTGGAGATCGGGCCTGTCACAGAGCACCTCATCTCTGGGGGGGCTCCGGATGCTTTTTGCACTGAAGTGACGGATCTCTGTCACACTCTGTCACACTCGCACACCCTTTGCCTTGGTCCACGCTCTGTCCCTGCATGCCCCATCTGTGTGTGTATGTGCGATTGTGGCACTCTCGGTGTGTGTGAGTGTTTGTGGGATGTCAGACGTGCCCCATCTGCAGCCTATGAGTTGTGTAATAAGCTCGCTCAGAGCCAGGCAAGGTGAAGGACAGCAAGAGCGAAGGAAAGTGGGAAAAGAGAGCCAGAAAGAGAGTCTAAGGCTTCTCGAGACACAACTACATATTTATATCTTCAGAACTAATCCTTCGACAGTGGTCTGTCTCCCATGTGTGTGAACATACGCCACCTGGCTCGACGTGATGGTGTATCAACTTCTCAATCACCTCCGCAGCGGGCAAACCGTAACGACTCTTCTCGCAGGCGTGATAATCCTCCTTTAGACATGCGCTGACACACACGAGTCCCAATGTCTCGGTTTTACCATATTTAAATCCTCAGCGACGCATTGTTCTGATTGTCTCTGCTGTGCGTTTCTTTTAGTCTGCTGCTTTCAATGTTGATGTTGAACTTTACGCTTTCAGATGGCTCATCCAGCACCGCCGAACCATGCTACGCCATTTTACTTGTGCTAAAAGTATCCCTGGAGAAGTTAAGACCAGCGCATGAATAATACATGAGGTATAAACATTGCCATAATGCTCTTATTATAGCATTCAATCAGCCCGGCCAAGATATTCTGCACCAAACGTGCTGACTTCCTCTATACAAGTCGCTTCAATTACCGAGCCTGAGATAAAGAGATAGGCCTCATGGATAATGTGGAGAATTTTCACCTCTCCATCAACCCTCACGCATTTTTGCCTCTCTTTCGTTCCTCCCTGTCTTTTTCTCACTTCCTTATGCAGATGTTTTCTCTTTTTTTTCACTCCCATCCTGTGGGCTTATAAATGAGAACGGCTGCTATCTTCATCTTAAGCTCTGAGAAATTGCATTCGTAAGAGCGTGTGAATAATACGGCTGCTCCCATGCCAATGCCAAGATCTTCTTACTCATAACGACAAAGACCTCACAAACACGGCTGGAGGGCGGAAAGGAGGACAGATACACAAGTACACACACAAATAGCTTTACTCTTTCTCTTGCACTCGCTATTAAAGTCCATGAGTCTGATATCATATTAAATGAAAATAAATAAATAAACGAATAAATGAAAAAATTAATGCATTTATTTTCTCTATATGATAATGTATATTTTGCATATGTATGTATATTACATTTTTAATTTGTATGTATGTTTACACGCACACACACACACACACACATACACTGAAGTAATATATCATAAAATATTATTTTTTTTAATTAAAATGATCATTTAGGAAAAGTACTACTACTACTGTATTATTATTATTATTATTATTGTTGAAGTACTTTCCTTAAATAAAATAAATAAATAAATAAATAAAGTAATTGTAAAATTATTATTATTAAGTTCATGCAGGACAAGTGCTACTATTATAGTAGCAGATGCTAAGACTTTTTGAAATGAATCTTAATTTTTAATTAAAACTTTTCTTTCAAACTGTTAAGCGGATACTATAATTTCATAGTTTGACATTTTGTATAGAATGAGAAAATAATGCAAAATAGTCACTATATATATATATATATATATATATATATTTAAATATACTCATAAAACCTTCAATAGTTACATTTTGACTTTAAGAATATGTAATAATGAAAAGAACTCCAAAGGATGTGTGAGGTTTTTTTTAATAAGAAAAGAACATAACAAACTTTAAGAACATACCATGAAACAATCAACCAAATAAAGCAATATATATATATATATATATATTAAGACCAAAAAGTGAATTTCTTTGTGAGTCTTTTATGTCTGATAGAAGTATGAAAATCAAAGAAAAAAGACTTAATTGTGAATTAAAAATGAGTTAATGAGGTATTTTACAAGCGCTCCAACAAATGCAAACTGTAGGTGCTCAAAAGAATCCACAAAACGGCGTTTGCTCTTTCTTTTTGAAGTAGCTGCTTAATTATTCTGAAGGACTTTGTCTCCTCAATCAATCTCGGCAAAGACTTTAACAGAAGCATAAAAAAAATTAGTAGGAGTATGTTAAAGTGCATTGTATAATTCATGGAGTTTTGCAGGTACTGTCAAGCGTCAAAAGCTTCTGTGGGTGTCGAGCTAGTCTGTTTGCAGGAAGTTGACAAAGACCACTACTCCTGTTAGCACCAGCTTAAAAGTCTCTGAGCTTTGCAACCTGTGCAGTGTTGTTTTCAAACATTTTTCATCTAGATTCGTTTTGATTAGGAGAACCTAATAAATTAGAGAATCTTAGAAGAGGGTGTTTGTTAAGGTTCAAACACTTCCAGAGAGTCTCGAGTCTCCCGTGCCAATGCTTTGAAGAGTAAGCGGAGCAGCAGAACACTTTATCAACTTGACTGCTTTTTCCTCTGTAATGTGATCCAAGCGGTTATGTGAAAGCACATAGTCATATCTGTTCTCTGTCACCCTCTAATGTGAAATATGAGGGGAGACATTGCATTGATCCCCTCTAATTGTCTGGAATGTTCTGGGCTGATTAGGAATTTATACTTTCAGATCCCGGCGCTCAGCAGCAGCACACGTGTGTGTGTGTGTGTGTGTGTGTGTCTGTCTGTGTGTGTGTGTGTGATGTATATTACATTTTTAATTTGTATGTATGTTTACACGCACACACACACACACACACATACACTGAAGTAATATATCATAAAATATTATTTTTTTTAATTAAAATGATCATTTAGGAAAATTGATAACAACAGCAACAACAGTAACAACAACAACAACAACAATAATAATAATAATAATAATAATAATAATAATAATAATAATAATAATAATAATAATAATAATAATAATAATAATAATAATAATAATAATAATAATAATAATAATAATAATTATCATCATTTTATTATTTTAATTAAAATGATCATTTAAGAAAAGTACTACTACTACTGTATTATTATTATTATTATTATTGTTGAAGTACTTTCCTTAAATAAAATAAATAAATAAATAAATAAAGTAATTGTAAAATTATTATTATTAAGTTCATGCAGGACAAGTGCTACTATTATAGTAGCAGATGCTAAGACTTTTTGAAATGAATCTTAATTTTTAATTAAAACTTTTCTTTCAAACTGTTAAGCGGATACTATAATTTCATAGTTTGACATTTTGTATAGAATGAGAAAATAATGCAAAATAGAAACATTAGTGGTCTTGAATGTTTGGATCGATACAACTCTTCCTGATTTTTTTTGTCACACTTGAAAGTTTTTTTTTCCCTCTCTTTTTATCATTGCATTTATTGGTTGGTACATGCATGAATTTGTGTGGTTTATTTCTGTTTTTTCTTTTTTTCTCCATTTCCCATCATTCCCTCTGGCTGATAAAGGCTGAAATATGTTTTCGGCCAGATCCAGCTGATTTTGTCTGGAAGCAGCTTGGATCCTCTCTTAGGGGAAGGTCCTGTCTGACTATTGAAAATAGTCAGAGTTCTCCTTAGGCAGCCATTTGCAAATCTCTTAGCATAACCTCTTTGATGCTTGCAAGGGAATGTGTGTGTGTGTGTGTGTGTGTGTGTGTGTGTCTGTCTGTCTGTACCCTGTCTCTCAGTAATTTAGCGAGCCGAGGTGTAACCTGTGACGCATGACATGTTCGGCAAAGATGAAAATGGAAACTCAAAGGGCCAGAATCAAATTGGTAAGACTGGCTTTATCAAGCAGACTGTCAGATGACAATTTAAACACATGAAAGACTGATAATAGGAAGAACGTTGTAAGAGGACGGCGATGGTTTTAGGTTTGGGACTTATTATTCAGTTATTAGATATGAAATTAGATGGATAACACACTCTGAGAAGAAAATGTCTCTTGAGCAACATTTATCTGTGCACCATGGTAAATTTTTACTTTGTTTGAGAGAATTCCTGATTATTTTTGGATGTTACTTTTGGATGGCTAGATGGGGATGTATTTTTAATTGCAGTACTGTATGAATTACATAATTCTGAGTTATTGCTCTATAAATGACATGGGTCAATATAGCCCACTGTTTACATAATGCAACATGCATGTTATCAAGCAAACAAACACTACTGTTTAAGAGTTTTGGGAACTTATTATTATTTGTTTTTAAGCTCACCAAGGCTGCATTTATTTGAACAAAAATACAGTAAAATAATAATAATGTGTGTGTGTGTGTGTGTTTTAATAGACCTTTCTTCTATTTTAATACATTTTAATCATGTAATTGAATGCAACTTAATGTATTTTTGTGGAAACTGACAGATATTTTTTCAGGTTTCAATGATGAATACATGCAAAGATCTTTGCTGTCACTTTTGATCAACTTAATGTTTCATTGCTGAATAAAAGTATTAATTTCTTAAAAAAAAAAAAAAAACACTGACCTCAAACTTTTGACTGGTATTATACATGTATAACAAGTAATAGGCAGGTTAACTGACAGTAACATTGATGCAATACTCTCATTTCTCATGAAAAATACAACTGAATCACAGCCGTCAAAGATATTCACTTCAATTCAGTTCAATCTGTCTGTATAGTGCTTTTGATGATTGTTCCAAAGGAGCTTTACTAAGAATAGTGCCTTACAAAACCACCCAGTGAGCAGCCAAAGGCGACAGAGGCGAAGAAAGAAAAAATAAAATTTAAATAAATGAATGAAGTAATCTTGGGAGGAATGAGACTCACCTCCTCAGGCTGGCACATATTTTAACAATTTTACACAAAGCATACATACATAAATGTTTGCTTGAACAGATATAATCCAGCTACATTAGTATTAATGATAATACTGACATCCAAACGTAACCAAGGCTCTTAAAGCGACCACAGAACGGTGTTTTTGTTGAGCGTGGATAAACATTGCTATAGTTACATTTCCTTGTAAGCCTGGGCTTGGTGAAATTGTGACATAAGAGGTATGTAGCTGGTTAGGTGGGAGGATTTGGGCCCATATAATATTCTGAGTGTTGAATTTATCTTCTGCTGGCTTGCAGACTAGTCTCTGAATCAACACTGATACAACTGAGCCTATAATTCTATCCACCAGACACATGGAGACAAAACCAACATAGTTACGTGGTGTTTTTATTTGTTTTGTGTCCTGTGATGTTTTTGTGTGTTATTCAAATGAAACAGCACTGCATTAGCATTGCCTGTGGCTCTGTTTTATTTTGATGTTACGTTCTGGTTATTGCTACAACAATTTAGTTATCTTAGCTGAAAATTCCGGCGAGTAATTGCAAGCTCTATATCGTCTGTATTGAGAATGTGTTCTGAATAGAAGATGGCGAGATGGAATGCATTTATGATTTAGGCTTATTTTTTTATTCATTTCAACCCCT